CTTTCTTCACTCAATGGGCTGACTCTTTCTTTGCCAGATCTCACTCACAAATGTGCATTTTCCTTATCTGATACCTCCAATAAGAGTACAGGAGACTCAAAGGGGGAGTAAAAAGAAAACTTAAAAATCATGCAATATTAATAACATACCAACACATCCTTCTCTCTGAATCTCTATAGCATCTGACTGGAAAGAAGAAACCCATATGAGCTTAGTGGGTCAGAATCATGCATGAGCCTGTCTCCAGAGGCTCTGACTCACTGCGCTAGCGCCGAGGCCCAAGAGCTGCCTTAACTCATTATTTTAAATTGCTATTATCTCTCTCTCTCTCCCCCTCCTTCCCTTCTTCCCTCCCCCACCTCTCTCTCCACCCTCCTACACCACCAATCTCCCTTTTCTGCTTTACACAAGGTGTCCCCTAAAAATGAATACACACTTTGAACAATTATTAATTCCAACCTGAAAAGAAACATCAATTGAGCTATCAGCTGTTAAAGTGTGTATACTTTCCTTTTTTTATTTTTATTTACTTATTTTTTAAAAAATATATCTTTACTGATTTCAGAGAGAGGAAAGGAGAGGGAGAGAGAGAGATAGAAACATCAATGATGAGAGAGTCACTGATCGACCCACAACCCGGGCATGTGCCCTGACCAGGAATCGAACCCCGATCGCCTGGATCCTACGTCGACACTCAACCGCCGAGCCACGCCCGGCCGGGCTACTTTTCTTTTTTAAAAAAATATATCTTTATTGATTTCAGAGAGAGGAAAGGAGAGGGAGAGAGAGAGAGAGAAACATCAATGATGAGAGAGTCANTAATATTCTCTTTCCTCTAGGTGAGTTTATTGGTTATCTTCTTCCTTTACTAAGGTGATCAAATTTGCCAAATGTTAGGCCCCTCCAAAGAACAAGCTTTTGGTTTTACCAATTAACTTTTTCATTTTCTATTTCACTAAGTTCTGCTCTTATCTTGTTTAAAATTGATTTTTAGAGAGAGAAGAAGGGGGGAGAAAGAGACATCAATTTGTATACCTCTGGTCTGGACACATTCAAGAAGCAACCAATGAATGCACGTGTCCAGAGATCAAACCCACAACCCTTGGCGTATCAGGACGATGCTGTAACCAACTGAGCTACCTGGCCAGGGTTTGCTTTTATCTTAACTACAAACTTGATTGTATTCTAAAAAGAAAATACATTTAAGGCTATAAATCTTCCTCTGAGTACCAATTTTGCTGCATCCCACAGGTTTGAATTATAGGGATCTGAATTTTGTAGTTTAGTAATTCATTTGTAAATAGTTTGAAAATTTCTATTTCGATTTTATCTTTAAAGCAAGCATTATTTAGAGATATACTTAGAGATATTTAGAGGGATAAAGTGACTTTGGCTACTTTATTACTGTTAATTTCTTATTTTATTATATAACAGTAAGTGAATGTGGCCTGTATGATTTACTAAAC